AAGGGGGAAAGAATGAACCAAGCATAGGACGGTCGGGAAAGGCCTGAGAAGCGTCTGAGCTGACCTGGAGGAGGTAGGGGGCATCCTTACCGCTATCTGGGAGAAGAGCACTGCAGGCAGAGGAACGGGCAGGAAAGGCCCTATGGCGAGAATGCCTAACACGTCTGAGGAACAGCAAAGAATTCCAAGGGCCCGGAGCAGGGGGGCGAGGCGGAGGGAAGACAACCAGACAGATGGCGGGGGCCTTGCAGCCACTGGCGGGGCACTGGCTTGTACTCAGGGGGATGACAGGAAGCCCCCGGAAGACTCAGAACACAGGGTCATAGGCCTTACCAAGCTCGCTCAGGCCGACGTTTTGGTAAAGGCACAGGGAAACCAATAAGAAACTACTGAAATGTTGGCTTCAGGTGAGAGAGAGAGCAGTGGCAGGGGTGAGAAGTGGCTGGCTTTTATATATATTTTCAAGATAGAGCCAAAAAGATTGCTGAAGAATTGGATGTGGGATGTGAGAAAGAGGCCTACAGAAATACTCCAAGATTTTTGGCACCAGCATCTGTCTGGCTGGAATGATGGGGATGCCATTAACGAGGAAGGGTGGCTTGCAGGTGGGCACGGGATGGGAGAACAGAGCTCCATTCTGGACATTTGAGAAGTTTCTAGACACCCAAGTAGAGACATTAAGTTAAGAGTGAGGTATACGGCTGGGTTCTGGGAGGCTGTGGGTGAAAAGTAGTGACCGAACCATCACGGGTCACTGCTCGGTGAGCTGGTGACTCGTATCGTATGTGCAGCACTAAAACAAAGTCCATGTGAATATGCTCAGCAACAACCCTATCCTCGGGGACCTTACTGTGTGGGGAGGCAAAGCACAAAGACGCCACATACAAGGCCCAGGAACTTACTGGAACACTGGCACGACTCTCTCCCCAGGAGCGTTTTATCACAAACCGCGCACTGCAGCACACCGGAGAACGTTCCAGGGACAAACTGATGCCGGCTCAGTTTCTCTTTGTCTTTGGCATCCTTGCTTTTTGTCTTCAGATAGAGCAGCAGCAGCAGAAAAATGGGGAAAAACGAGGAAAGAGAAATGCTGAAAGCCAACCATCTTACAGAAGTCATACAAAATCTCGACAGCTTCAGAACCTAAGGACTGTACGTCACGGGGTTCAATGAAGCCAAAATGCACTATTACCAGATGCAGTTGTCTTAGTGCTTCTGATGATTTAGATAATACTCCATAAAAAACAGAGGTTTTCAAATACCTAAGTATAAAATCTGAGGTAAATGACTTTAAAGGGGGAGGGGAAACTGTACTAATTGCTGAGAACTGAGCCCTCTATGGTTTAAGGACAATAGGTACAAAACCTTAGCTACCTTAGACTTATTCCGAGGGCTAGTCATCCGATTCATGATGAAGCTGAAAGTTCGGCTCACTTTGTACTTTTCAGAATCCGATTTGGCAGGTATGATGTATTTATCCCACTCTTCTTCTGGAATTCTACAAAAAAGAAGCTGTATTCATGGCCTATAGGACTTAAAGAGGGAGCAAAATACAGCATATTCATGCTGTGTACACACATATACACATATTTTAATACACAGGCATTTACACATATATATTTATACATGTTTTTATACATATTTATTTACACATATATATTTTTTCAACTTTTAATGGTTATTCTAAAGATAAATATAGAAACTATTAAAAATATATCTTATAGATGGATAGGTAGATAGATAAAGCAACTATCTCACAATTTTAACAATTTTACAGAATCTAAGTAGTAGAGGTAGGTATTCATTAAATAATTCTTTCAACTTCTCTGTATATCTTTAAAATTTTTATAACAAAATATTGGAGAAATAAAGGATAACTCAGATTTATAATTTTACTCTGAAAACATTCATCTCCCTGTTTATTATACTAACAGGATTTTCTTCTGGCATAGAGGAGCCAAATAGCCAACAATATAAAACTGTATTTTCTTTATTTTTGGAACATAGAGATAATACTCAGCAGACACATTTTTCCTTTGTCAATACAGCCTGAGAAACAGATGGTCTGCCTCTTGGTTCAGTGTCTCCCACTCAATCAGGCTACTTGCAATCTGACACTCTCTAGGGTGTAAAGGAGAGAAGGCTGTGGACACTCCCCCAAAATAAGAGGCAAGCTAGAGGTAACTGTACCCAATCCATGAACACACTGAACATCATTTATTTTTCTCTAATCCATATAATCATTCTGTAAGAAAAAAATAAGTCCCAGCTATGAAAAGTCATATATCCCCTGGAACTTTCTCTGGCAGTCTTATATTCCTAATGTTATAACAGAGAGAGAGAAAGAGAGAATATTTTAAATATCAACCTATGTATGTATCATGTCAAACCAGATAACACTTCTGTAGACTATTTCCAAAATGAACATTTCATAACCAAAGGCTCTCCTAGCCTCCACCCCATAAAACCTTCTCATTTGTCAGGATTGGTAGTTAACACACTCATCTCTGGGAAATACCTTTCCAAAGCAATCATATTATTGATATGCACCAAAATATACATGATTACTTTTATGAAAATAAATTCAATGACAACTTTCTAGGACTTTAGTTTTCTCATCTGATCAATGACAGGCTTAGACTAAATTATTTCTAAGGGTCCTTCTCACACTTACGTATAATATGCACTTCCCTTGCACATATTAAACAAAACTTTAAGTTATTTAACCTCTATACTAGGCAATGGAGAGTTCAAACCTATGAATGTATTTTAAAAAGCCAATAATACATGGCTTCAGAGCTGCCCCTTGGTCGTGCGGATCTAAAGGCATAGTCAGGAGAGCGTGTCCTGCTTTTCAAATCCTGCACAGTAAGTGAAACTGGGTTTGCTACTAGAGAGAACAGTTGAAAAAGTCAGAAAGGAAAGAGGGAGAATAGAAGTGAATGTATCCTACAGCTGCGCAGCGTAACAAAAAGGAACTCAGACCTTGTTATTTCCTTTCTACTTCCCCAGTCACCTCCGTAGATAACTAATATAATCTGTAATGTTCATACCTCTTATGTCTTAAGCATCCTAATTTTCAAAACTCATGGTATAATATTCAACAGGCTCACTTTGAGTGTGGAAAAAAACACATTGGTGTCACAAAAGGTGCCATCCACTGCCTAAGAGGACAGCAGTGTGCTGAGAGACTACACCTCAGAATTAAAGAATGGTGAGGTCAGTGTGGATTTGAGGTGAAGAAGTCCTCTCCCCTGCTTCCCAGCAGAAACTCTCTCAAACTAAACTCTCTCAAATAAAAGAAAATGATTTACCCAACTGTACTCCAAATACCTCAAGCTAGAGAAACGGTATCAAGAACAATGTTTCAGTTTTGATTTAAAATGTATGCATACACCACAATTTAGCATGCATTCTACTTACTTCTCCAAAATTACATAGTTATACCACTTAACTTTTAAGCTCAAAGGCTGATAAGACCTGAGACATGATCATGTAAATGAAAAAATACTGAAACACTAAATATTAAATCAGAAAATCCATCCAACCTGGTAGAAATGTGAACATCACAGACACGATCCACTGTCATATTATGAAAATGGGTGATCCACTGTCATATTATGAAAATGGGTAACACGGTGTAAACTTTGGGCAAATGTTGAGGGTTGGTCGAGTCTATGTTGCAAATTTAATTTAACTATGTGATACTAATCTATATAACAAGTAAGTACTGTAGCGAAGAACTGAGAAATGTCCTCAACTGATTTCACAACGGAATTTAAATAGCTTTTCAATTTATAAGCATCTGGGGGAAAAATAATTTAAATTCTTTTTAACATTCCAGAACAAGAACGGCTAAGCTCGCCTGGCCAGGCATGGCTCAGCGGTTGAGCATCGACCTGTGATCCAGGAGATCTCGGTTCGATTCCCGGTCAGGGCACATGCCCGGGTTGCGGGCTCGATCCCCAGTCGGGAGCTTGTAGGAGGCAGCCGATCAATGACTCTCTCATCATTGAGGTTTCGGTCTCTCCCTCTCCTTTCCTCTCTCTGAAATCAATAAAGTTATATTTAANTTGTAGGAGGCAGCCGATCAATGACTCTCTCATCATTGAGGTTTCGGTCTCTCCCTCTCCTTTCCTCTCTCTGAAATCAATAAAGTTATATTTAAAAAAAAAAAAAAAAAA